ATAAGTTTTCTACAGGTACAGCCAAATTTACTAATTAAATCTGTGTATCTATGAAAGAATTTAGTAAAAGTTTTAAGTAATTTATGGTAACGAAATCCCTGACTTAATAATTTACCAGTGATGCATTGATTACGTTCGTTTAAATCTATGACATCACTCCACACACGGGCATACCGAACGAGTTAGTATATATAAACACCGTATGATGGAGCCGAAGGAACATTGCCGTCAAAAAAGGAAAATTAAAAATAGGGAATGAAAAATCGTCTCTTTTGTCGTAAATTTTAGTATGGAGTTTCCCTTTAGAAATTGAAATGTCTAAATCTAGAAAAGGACAACTGCTGCTGTTTATGTTAGATTTAGTTAAAGTAAGTTCTTTGGGGTAAATTTCGGTAGTATATTTAGAGAACTCTGGATTATAATATTTAACGAAAAAATATCATCCAGATAACGGTAGGTATTGTTGAATGTATCAACCAATTTTAACAATGATGTGTCTTTACTGAGTTTGGTCATAAACTGAGATTCATAGCAATACAGGAATACATCTGCTATTAAAGAGGCGCAGTTAGTGTCCATAGGAATACCTACTACCTGACGATACACTTTATCGCCGAAACGTACATATATGTTATCTAGGAGAAAATTTAAAGCTTTAATCATATCCTCACATTTCCAGTAAGTGTATCTAGCATACTTTCCTTTTTCGTTACAGAAAAAGGCTTTAAACGAGTTACAGCAAATAAATTTACAATGAGATTTTTCGAAAGACCATTTTATCAAATATGAAAACTTTTTCTTTATTAGATTGCGTGGAAGTGTAGTGTAGAGAGTAGACAAATCATAACTGTTAACAGAATTAAAAGGACCATCAAAAGCATATATTTTATCTAAAACCTCTAAAGAATTTTTAACACTTCAAAACTAATTAATACCATTATTTTCATAAGCTGTATTACAAAAGTTAATAACCAGTTCTTTGATAGTAGTAAGGGAGGTAGTAAGAAGCACTGATAGATTAGTAGTAGAACACTTACTAGATGCGGAGATGAAACGGAATTTAAATGGTTTTTTGTGTAATTTCGGTAACCAGTACATGGTAGGGATTTTCAAATGTTCGGAAGAAGCTTTAAGCTGGGTAGTGGCAGTGATATGCTTGTTAACGATATGACTCTCAGTAGTGCGTACGGACCTGGATGTAGAGGAATTGATAACTTCGTTTTGTAGAAATTCTGTGTAGTATATGCGTCATACCACCACTACATTATTGGCTGCCATGTCTGCCGGTACGAACACAAACCGCTCTGCGAGTACTTGGAGTTTATTTTTTATTCTAGAAATTGGAATATCATGGACCCTATTATTAATTTCAAAATTGTTTTCAAAATGAGATATTCAAATATTAACAGTATTCATAATTTTATTCAAATAACTGGCTAGAGATTTTTTATCAGATTTTTCACGTTTGCACCAATTTTTAAAGTAGGCAGACAGAGCGTCTTTAATGACCCGACGACACTGTTTCCAATCTATTATAGATGGAGGACGGTATTTCGGTCCTTTCTTTAGAAAAGTTTTGACCTCACGGTCTTCGACGATGTTGAGGTCTCCTGTAATAACATGATCATAGGGAACATATCTAAAACTAGATGTTTACTTTTTCAATGGAATTATATTGCTCCTATCAATCAAATGAGGACAACGTTGTGTGGATGGTTGTCAGCACGTGCCTTGGAGTCCACAAAATTACGTTGTCACAGCGATAGTATTACGTTGTCACAACGTAATGTCAACGTTGGATTGTTTACTGGGATTGTAAGCGAAAAGAGACTTTATTGTATGGACTCTATCAGATCCTTCGAATTTTTAAGGTTCCACGTCTGATTCATGCCACTTCCCGAGTAAGTAGTTTTACAATGACTTGGAAGCCCGGTTTCTAATTGCTAATAACATTGATGTATATAATTAAGTTAGAGGTTTCATACGAAGTACTCAGAAGACCCAGTAAAGTAACGTTGACTGTAATAACCGTCGCCTAAAATTTAACCATACGAAACAGATTTTTAGTGGTAATTCGATTTTATGGTTTTTGGTTTCGGTTGGATAATTTGTTATGTCTTGTCGTTTGTAATTCAAAAAATTATAAAATTGCCTTTCCATAACATCATTGTCATGAAAACTCTTTGGACGAGTTTTGTGAAAATAGTTGTATGAAGTTTGAGATTGCATGTTACTTACGTAAGCGCATCACTGTTTTTTATATCCTGTGGTGTTTGTCGTTGATGAAATATGAACTTTTTGTTCTGCAGTTTGCATGCTGTGTCGACTATTATATTCTTTGTTTGTGCGTTTCTCTGTGATTAATGTTCATGCGTGTGTATGTGCTGTATTTCTGTCACGTAGTGTTGTCATGTCAGCGATATGTTTAACACTGTAATATAGAGGGAGGGTTGGCTAGCCATTAAACCAGGTTCAAACCACAATTCTTTCTTTAAATGTCCTGTACCAAGTCAAGAAATATGGCAGCTGTTATCAAATAGTTCGTTTCTATATATGTTAGGTTTTTTTAATGTCATATGCCTGTTGATCGTTTGTTTTTCTCTTAAAGTAGATGTATTTCCCTCGGTTTTAGTTTGTTTTCTCTCCATCGATTTATGACCTATGAACACCGGTATACTACTGTTACCTTTATTTAATATTATTATATATAACCAAAATATGCTAGAAGGATGTAAATACGACGGCTGTTTAAAGTGTTAGTTACTATTAATGTGGTATTACTAAAAACAAAATAAATACCTTCAAACTGATAATATGTATATTGATTTATAACATTTGATTTTCAACTTTCAACATCCGTTTTCAACATTTAACATTCGTTTTCAACATTCAGCATTCGTTTTCAACATTCAACATTCAACATTCGTTTTAAACATTCAACATTCGTTTTCAACATTCCACATTCATTTTCAACATTCGTTTTCAACATTCGATTTTCAACATTCAACATTTAACATTCGTTTTCAACATTCGTTTTCAACATTCGAATTTCAACATTCAACATTCAACATTCGTTTTCACCATTTAACATTCGTTTTCAACATTCATTATTCGTTTTCAACATTCAACATTTACTTTTAACATTCGTTTTGAACATTGAACATTCGTTTTGAACATTCAATATTCGTTTTAAACAATCGATTTTCAACTTTCAACATTCGTTTTCAATATTCGTTTCCAACATTCGTTTTCAACAGTCGTTTTCAACATTCGTTTCCAACATTCAACATTCATTTTTCGTTTTCAGCATTCAACATTTGCTTTTAACATTCGTTTTCAACATTCAACATTCGTTTTTAACATTCAACATTCGTTTTCAACATTCAACATTCGTTTTCAATATTTAATATTCGTTTTTAAAAATCAACATTCGTTTTCAAGATTCGATTTTTAACTTTCAACATTCTTTTTCGACATTTTCAACATTCGTTTTCAACATTAATTTTTCGTTTTCAACATTTAACATTTGCTTTTAACATTCGTTTTCAACATTCAACATTCGTTTTTAACATTCAACATTCGTTTTCAACTTTCATCATGCGTTTTCAATATTTAATATTCGTTTTTAAAATTCAACATTCGTTTTCAAGATTCGATTTTTAACTTTCAACATTCTTTTTCAACATTCAACATTCGTTTTAGATATTCAACATTCGTTTTCAGCATTCGATTTTCAACTTTCAACATTGTTGAATATTGAAAACGAATATTGAATGTTGAAAACGAATGTTGAATGTTGAAAAAGAATGTTGAAAGTTTAAAATCGAATGTTGAAAACGAATGTTGAAAAAAATAAAAAAAAGTGAAAAAAAAGTTTAACAAAAAAATAATTTTGAATGTTGAATATTGAATTTTAAACCAACTTGACATCCGTTTATTAAAGTTTTCAAACACTAATTTTATTGTAATTTTTAAAGTTTATCTAGCATAAGATTGTCCTTTTTTTTTAAATCAAGCATCGAGGGTAATAGGTATAAAGCTAATAAAAGGCCTTTTATAACAGATATCATAGCTTTTCCTTTACTTTTCATGTTCGTTTGCAGATATGAAATATGGTCTTTTTCAAAATGTCGTCACTTAATGTAACAAAATAGTTCCTGTTATCGCGAAACACGTACAGTAGTCGGATTAATGCAACCCCAAAAGAACATCTGTCAATCAAAAGATAGTTATCGAAAGACAACATTTCATCATGATTTACAGTTATGTGTCTTTTACCTCATGTTTGACGTCATTGTCGACTCTCTTCCTGATAAAGTTAGCACATTCAACTTGCTAAACTAATTTCTTTACTAAAAAACAAACGATTTTTCTGATCAGTTTAGAATGCTGGAGTTATATATATAAATGAACATAAAGATAAAGTAAATAACTCCAATCGGAATTGTGTATACCATATTTTTTATACGAATATATTCAAACAGTTTGATCTCTGACATGGCGGCAAAGGTTATAACTTCAACGCAAAACACGACAATTGTTACCTGTATATTATAATAATCGAGATTCGTTGAATCTGACTGCAAAAACTAGTAGCAGAAATAGATTGATTATATTATAGAAATGTCAAGGGTACTTCTAAACGTAGTTTAATTATCTTGAGGACATGAATAGAAACCAACACTTGAGTTATATTGTCTTCATGACATCATTACATATAAAAGAATCTTTCATTTGTCTTGAACTCAGCAACACAATGTTTAAACTGCAGTTTTGCTTTTACAAACTTTTATCAATCCTGCATCAAAATAAGAACCATAAGTAAAATTGCATGCAGAGCCTTGGACCGCTAGGCCAACTTACAGACACTGTAGGGAAGAATTTAATTCCTGATATATATTTATTAGATGTAAATTAATTCATTTATTGACTACACCTTTCTTCATAGACAAACAAAATGACAAAAGATAAACTACACATGTGCAGTACTGGAGATAAAATCAACAAACTACAATATGAGCAAAAATATTTTAACATCAGAAGAAAGAAAAATAAATCTCAGTCAAACATTTAATTTTAAAGACATCATCATATTTGAAATCCATTTTTCATGCAATGACAAATTCTTTGAAGCACTTTTCAAATCTGGATCTGGTTTGAATCTGATTGAACACATAAATGCCCGCTTTGCAGATTATATGTCTCTTTTCAATCAGAGCAAAAAATGATAACAACACGTTATAAATGTCATGCGTCCAAAGCGCTTTTATGGTTTTACCTTCATCAGGAGAGCCCAAAGTCGAATATTTGAAAGCCAAAAATGTATAAGGACCGAAAACATTGAAGAGCTATAAACGAAAAAAGGACCTAAAAAGCCAAATCCATCTTAGGTCAACTTTGTCTTAGGGAGTTGAAACCTTATTTTTTATAATTTCAAAATTTATTAACGGGCAATTTTAGAAAGTTTGTAATAAATCATTTAAGTAAAGAGGTCATAAAACGGTCGTAGATTGGTAGTTTACTATCTCTTTTACGGCGAAATGCAAAGGAATCGCACCATCGGTTTGTATTGTTGATATGATCATGGCATAGAAGTGTAAGGAATTGAGCGTATTTCACTGGTGAAATTTGGAGATCTTGCATCGATCCTGCTATGATTTTTAATTCATCTGGTACTAAAGTAGAGGTTCTCATAAAATCAAATTCATCTACTACCAAAATTTTCCACAACTGAAAAACATTAATGTTCCGTAACACATTCAACTCGAATAATTTGTGCTGAGTATGTGATCGTTTCATAAACGATTGAATTGTTTCCGATGAACATTTTGATAAAGCATACTGGAGAATGTAAATAGCTGAATTGTACTGTTTTACCAAATAGAAAAACGATGCTAACAGCAGCCATTCAGAAACAGCATCATGATGCATATTCAGTAACAGAGTACTTACGCGGACTTTGTACTGCATATAAGCAGATTTATTACCGGATATATTCATAGACGATACTTCTTGCGCTTTTGAACAACAACATTTTGATAAATAATACAAGTAGAGGTATTTTGAATTAGAACTCCCAATGTTCAAAAGCAGGTGTATTGTGTATTTCAATGTGATTGTATGTCTGTGCATTAAACCTTCCGATACATTCAACATTCTTGAAAGTAATAATTTTTCAAGAGTGTCGATAGTTTGAGAATTTACATCTTTGAGTCTGTGTGATACTCGTGCATGGAAATCAAAGAATTGGTTTGATAAAAAGATGCATTGCCAACCATAACTATTTAGAATATGTAGCTTATTTATAAGTTTTTGTTGTGCGTTTTCTTTGATCTTGTTCTCAAATAAATTATTTTCAGGAATGAAGTAATGCGGACAAGCTGAGTTCTCAACAGAGTAAATAAGTCTCTTAAAGCATCTCATGAAATTACATAGCAGATTTTCTGGTCTCCATATTGAAGGTGAAATTTCTTCAGATATCCAAAACATAATTGTTTTCATGAAATATGAGCAAAGCAAGTCTTTGTTTTCTGAGTCATTAGCTATTACGTCTTTTAGAAGAACTTTTATCAAAGCATAACATATCAATTGTGTGTGTGAAAAGGTATATATTAACAATTTTTCGCTAACAGAAAACGATATTCGCCATTCTACAGTTTCATTTTTTGACCCTTTCACACCTATTGGTACAAACACAGTACCGTGTTGAACAATTGAATCTTTAACGTCGTTATCAGGCCATGAATTATTTGATCGTGTTATCCATTGCATTGCTGGTGCTATCCATGATTTACAATGCAAACAACTTGAAAGGTCATATAATCCTGTTTTATCTGACATACACGGTCCATGTTCAATCTGAAATATATCGTGTGGCAGTTTAAATGGAATGTTTGACAAATAGAAATCCCCGTCTATTTCTTCAAAAAAATGAGAGGTAGTCGGACCCTTACATGTACCATGATTACTGTGATCTAGACGTAACTTAGTGAAACCGGGCTGTGTATCTTCTGTTTTAATTGAAAAATATAATTTATCCGGATTGGAAGGAACGTTTTTGTCTTCGAATACCATAGACGGTAAAACTTGCATAACATCTAAGTCACTACCTTGCATCTCAATCCCCTCCCCAAAACTTCCACTGGTGACCTGTGCCGCAGTTTTGAAAGTTACATTGTCTCTTATATTGTTCATCATTCTGATTGTTCTTACATGTTCCTCTGTTCCAACAATATTTTGACACATATAACGATACAAAGCAATTGATGTACTTTGTGTTGCTGATTCTGAAATATGTTAATGTGAATGAAATAAACTTAAATAAGGATTAGAATACTAATACTCGTTAGAAATGTCCGTTTGTCGTTAACCGTATTAGTTAAACTTCTAATTAAAGTGTGGTTAAATGAGAAATAGTTAATCATACTACAGAAGCTAAGGTACTGGATTCTTTTATTTTATTTTATTTTAGTTTTCTTGCTAAAAAAAATTGATAATTCAGTGCAACCAATGACAAATACAATATCAAAATGCAATACCGAGTGCAAGCCCCTGGGTATACATCAAGTTAAATTCTAAAACGGTCATCGTCATTTTGTCTGACTTTTGTTTAATTGTTGCAAGTGCAATTATGTCGAAAGTAAACCTCGAAGGCAAGCAAAAGAAGCATATATTACATTTTGAGGACGCTCGTTTAATTTGATATATCACATCTTCAATTGATTTCTGCAGTACTCATTTCAACAAAAGCATAATACATTGTAACATGTATCCGATAGCACAACATTTCCTTCTTTGAAAATGTAAATTTGAACATTTTACTTTACTTTTTCGTAATATTGTTGTTTGAGCAATCTGAGCACACTGAATTTTAATTCCTGCTTGAATTGTTTCAGTTAGTAATCCGTTTTCCATTTCTCCTAAACAAAATATTGTGCAATGGGATACATGCATTCTAACAATGTCATGTTTAATGCGAGATTATCATTTGTATAACATCCTTGTTTGTTTTTTCTTTAATAAAACAAGACCAAATTCAATTTATTGTTAACAATCATGTATCGAACAACAATTAAAAGTAAACAACATTTCTGTGTTAATACTTGCCATTTGCCTGTAACCTTTAATAAGTTATATCTAAGCAGTCAAAATTGGATTTGACATAACTCAAAACTTGAACGAAAAGTAGGGAACGTGAATTCTTTTATTTATTATTACTTTTATTTTTCGATTTACCAATTACATTGGCAGGCCTCAACAGTTTATGAGTTGTAAATGAACAGTTTAAATTAAACACAAACAAAAACAAAAAAAAACAATAAAAAAAAAACAAAACAAAACAAAACATCAAAGTTACATCGTTTCATAGTACTGAGAAAAGCAATAATGATTTTGTTAATCAATGCAAATATTTTTGCATACTAGTAAATGTCCAACCTTAGTTTCTGATTTGACTTATATGTCAATAATTAGAGAAATATAACCTATGCAATCATCAATTTTATGCTAGAAAACAAGCTCATGGTTTTCTGTTAATGCTATTTATGGTAAACGGGGAACCAGTAATGTATACAAGTCAACACACCTGTTGTGATATACTGCTAAATATATTTCGATCTGAAACAGTCACTTTGATGTAAGCAATAGATTATAAAGTGATTTTCAGTCTTTTTGTCAATTGTTAGACTTATAAAAGGCGTTAAATGTAACACTGTAAACCAACTTACGTTGATTTGAACAGTTATCTGTCCTCGTTCGACCTTCAACAAAAAAGAAATCATATTTCGTATAGCCCGCTATAAAAGCTAGAAAAAATGAAGGAAAAAAATGAAATAATTTAATGATTAAAATAACCGCCTGAAAAATCAATAAATAACTCTTTATTTCCAGATTAATTTCCGTCGATAGACCTATTCCCCTGTCTTAAATATATATATACATGTCGATCAAAAATCTGTTTTTAATTTTGCTTGTGTAGAGCAATTGAAACATCGGGAATGTCCATATAGTTTAGGTACAGGTACTTGACGCTCAATATTTTTTTGTGGTTACAGAAAACCAGCAATCACGTAAGCATTTCCTCATAAGTCAGAAAACACGTTCATGGTTTCATTTAGCTTGACACAGAACACTATATATATCATGTATTTATACATACAACTTCCTTAACATGAAATACATCCGTTACAAGTAATTGTATATAATATATAATGTCGCTTCAAACATCGATTTAATGTTTAAGGTTATTACGTTTCTCTACTTATTAAACAGTTTATGTTTTAATTGCTAGCTTATCGAAATTCTGACACAAAAAGACGTGTACATGTATTTGTCTTTCATAAATCATAAGCTTCATTTGTAAATGTACCAAGAGAAATATTCCATTCCTATAACAAATATCTCCTCATACGTCACAATGCAGGTTTCTTTTTAATAAAATAATGCGACAGTGATAATTTGTTTGCAACAAATTAAGTATTTTCTTAAAATATCAATATTATTTCCTTTAACATTTAAAACATTGATTCCATTAAATAGCATAACACAGAATTCAAAAACATATTTTTAAAAAGTATAAGAGAGATTCTAAATTTTCTATCAACCAATTACTCGTGTTACTTGAACATAATAATTATGTTTAAATATATTCAATCTTCATTTTTTTCAGTATAAAAAAAGCAAATGAGATATGATTGCCATTGAGACATTAATCCACAAGTGCAAACAAAGTGGATGTAAGCAATTATAGGAAACCGTCCGGCTCTTTTATCAACATTTATATCTTTACATTTCACACACGTTTCATTTTATATATATTTTTTGTTTCAGTAAAGTCAATAAAATCCATGTGATTAAACTTCTTCAATTTCATTTGATTGTATTTCATATTTACAAGGAATAATATTGAAAGACACTATTTTCATATAAAAAAGAGTTAAAACAAGATCATACTACACAGGGAATGTCATATCATTTAGATAATAAGCCTTATTTAAAATTTCTAGTATTAAAAATATTTTGAAAATAATCATCTCATAAACTAATTAAGTTTTTATGAGCATGATATAATAAAAAGGATCATTAAGTCTTTACTTCCGGTGAAGTTTTTACAGCTAAAATTTTTACAATTATTTTATAAGTCTGAGATAATCAAAACTGACCTGATACTATATATTGTGTAAATTAAATTTCAGACTTAAACGTATTATCAATACTGTTTGGATATTTGATAGTACGTGTCATACGCAAACATTATATGCATTTACTCTCGGACATTAATTATCAATGTCAGGACAATAACAGCATGCAGCAAGGAATGTAAATAATGATTTCAGTTGAAGATTACAAAATTAAATTGTGCGTTTGTAACGCATAAAACAGTTTGAATATAAAAAAAAAAAAAGAATAAAGATATGTTTTATGATTGCAAATAATAGACAGCTATTTACCACAAACTAAAATATGCGGATGCAAGCGACAATATATATTCATAACAGAAACTAGAAGCACTGTATCAAAGTGTTTCGATTAATATAGAGAATTAGATTGTACGTAATTAATTATTCTGCGAATCGTTGCATTAGAAGGTATCATAAGAACGCTATTATTAACATCTAAAACTATCTCAAAGCGATGAACATTCAATGTTATAATATATAATTGGCATTCAAGTTAGTCAATTGACACATGAATATGCAATACGACTGCCAGTAGAATGTATGGAATGATAATGGCCTATAATCTTTTAGCTAATATGACAAAGATTGGTCCTAAACGTGCGTGCATATTTGACAAAGACCGGATATCACTTGTAAACGAATTTTAGTCTGAACCTGTCATTTGATCCCAACAACATATGAAAAGACAGAATATTATTTTTTGAAGCAATTTTCAGATTATTTGACTGCGGTCTATTCAGTATTGTTCAGCCAATTTGCTTGCAGTGAATTCAGTACTGATAATAGCTTTAATGACAATTAGGTATGTTGTTGATCTGAACAGGTGAATAACAACTACTGAACCGTCTAAATATATACAGAACGTATCATTTTTGACTGCAAGCGAATGGTCTGACCAATACTAAATTTACCGCGGTAGAAAAGTCTGCAAATTGACTAGCAAACCGAAGATGACTTATTATTTATTGATCAGTCTTTTAAGAGATGTTCAGACCGAAATGACCGTTTTATTTAGTAGGTGTGTGCATGTTATGTTAAACTTCAATATAAAAATGAATAAACATGCTTATTTTTCAGAATACTGTACATAGCCAAAAAAAAGATCAATAATTATAATCATAAAAGAGAAATGACAAATATAGTTGACACATTACTTGAAAGAAGTTCACATACAAACGAAATCAATTGATTCATTTTATTTTTGCCATACTGTACGTGATTATTTGTAAATCCAATTTTGAGTATAATATGGAAATGTGCATTTAAGAGGTTATTTTTTTCAGAAAGTGCAATTAATTGTCCTAGTTTTGAATTTAAAAGACATGTCGTCTCAATTCAAGTTTGATAATCTAGTGATTTTTTAAATTTAAAATCAGAACCTCTACAAAGGTTCCATTTATTTTGTGCATTTTGTGTGATCATGATCTAAGACAAATAATATAAAAAATATGGTTATCCTAGCTACAAGCGTATGTTTTATATAAGATAAAATGTATTTAATTTTGTTATAAACTTGTGATTGCAAAACACAAAAAGTATAAATTTAAATTAATATAATTTTTTTTTCCATATCAGTTATCACAGTTATAATTT